ATGTTTATATCATAAATAAATTAAACTTAATTTTTATAAAATTTAATATATTTATTTTTATATTTTTATTAGTGTTAAATTGTTATAAAGTAACTCTTTAGGATTGTAATTCTAATCAAATATTTAAAAAAATGTTTATGATAAATAAATAAGTCAGATTTAAAATATGTATTTTTAAAGAAAATTAGGTTCAAATTTACTAAATTATAATATAACTTAATCTGATCTAATTTATTTTCATCTTTAATTATAATTGTAAATATAAAAATTTATAATATATATTTATACTTTTAAAAATTATATATAAAATTTTTAATATTAAAATATATGAATAAATATTATGTTTTTGTCTAAAGTTTTTGAATTCTTCACTGGTTAGACGATTGAAAATATTAAAAATGACTTTTAAGAAATCATTAAAAAATAACTTGTTTCAGTCGCGCAGAGATTTGTCGTGAGTGCTATGTGGCGCCACGTAAGAGAATGTTATCCATCCACTTCGGATAAGACAAGTGTTCATTCAACTTTATCTTTTACTATTACTAGTCATTCACTAATTGACGCGTGGACATACATTTAGCTATATATTCTTGAAATATTTATAAAATTATGTGAGAATTTTGTATTTGAAATTTTAAAAATATTTAACATATTATATTTTAATGTTTTATAATTTTGAAATGTGGAATGATAAAATTATTTAATTATTTTATACTTTTATTGATTGTATAAATTTAAATGTTTTAAAAAATTCGTGGATGGATTTGATGACATTAAAATGTGAGAATTTAAAATGCAATTTTTGAATTGACATGACATATCATGATTGAAGGAACACGGAAGGGGAACAAAATTTGGTTACAGGTGATTTCAATTATATTAAAAACATTCTAATGCAAGATAGTTAATTTCTTCCATGAAAGCGTTTTCAAGTTATATGTATGAGTAAGATTTTGTTACGAATGACAATTTTACTCCAATATTTTCTATGAAAATTAATTTCTAATTATGAACTAAAGATAATTTACTATTAACACTAGGTGTGAGCAACGGGTAGGTTTGGTCGGGTTCGGGTGAAAAATGTCCAACCCGTTGTAAACCGACTTTGAAAAAATGTGACCCATATCCGACTGACTGAGCTTTCGATTTGAGTCGGTTCGGGTTGAAACGGATTCGGATTTAAGCGGGTGGGTATAATCGGGTTTGAATTTTTTTGTAGACCAATTTATCTTAACGAAGATGAAGCTTAAAACGATAAAAAATATTTTTAAAATAGTGTATAAAAATAGAATGAAAGTGACAATAGATGGTGTAAATAGATTCGTAGTTGAAACATTTACAAACTAAAGAAGCAAAAATAAAAGATAACAAAATTCATAGTTGTTACATGGAAAAGAAATATAAAGTTAGATTACAAAACCATAAGAAATCACAGTCACACAAAATGTACTCAAAATGGAGATAAGAAGATGGAAAAGAAAGACAAAGAAAGAAGCAAAAAGATAACTCTAAAAATGGACTAGTGTGTTGAGAAGTTGAATGAGGAAGGAGAAGACAAAATAAATATCTAAGTTATGAGAAAAAGGAAAAAAAATAAGTTACAAATTGATGGCTATATTATACTTGAAATAAAGACTTTTAAATTTGGACCATTGTTGTTTAGTTATACAAAAGTAATAAAAATTTAAACTTATCTCATTTTCGGTTGGATTCGGTTTTTAGCAGATTTAAAAATTCAAAACCGAACCCGCCCAATATAACCCGTATAAAATCAAAATTTTAACCCGATTTATCTATAAGACCCGTCCGAACCCACCCAAAAGCAATATTTTTTTTCGGGTTTTTCGAGTTCGATTCGGGTGTCGGTTTAATGCTCACCCCTAATTAACACGCATTAAAAAGGTGGAAAAAACTTACAAGGACCAAACCCATTACTTGGATAGGTAGAATGGGGCACACAGACATAAATGATTTTAGATATTTGTATAAAAGTAATTTCTAATACAACCTGAACGTGAAATTAATTTCTAATATATTTTGTTATAAATTAAATTTAAAAATTAAGGGTCAAATTATCACACTTCACCGTCTCAAGTGTTCTCTCTGATAGAAAAATTTCTTGTCCGTCAAGCATAGTTAAAAATAATCTCAATTAATATTTATATTATATTTTGCGACTTGAAATTATTGAAATTTGAAATTTATAAAACATTAATTACTTTGGAATAAAAATTAAAGACTAAAACACTCAAAGTTTTGAAAAGGAAGAAATAAGAGTAATTGTAGGATTAAATGTGATTGTTAAGAGAGGTACCTGTGAGAAAAATCTTTAGTAAAGTGTTAAATCTGTAAAACATTAATTTTAGGAAAAAAACCTAAAATAATTTTTTAACAGACATACTTATTTTTATTTTTCATAACAAGACTTATTTCATTGGATAAATATTAACGAGACATTTTTCTTATTATACATTTTAATATCAATTATAATTTATTAAAAATTAAAAAATTAATTTTTTTTAAATAATATGTGATATTGATTTTTTTTTAATATTTTTTAATAAATACTTAAAGAATGCTAATATCACATTCTTCTTATACACACTTTCTTTTTATTAAAATTTATTAAAAATTACAAAATTAAGAAAAAGAATTATTAAATAAAATATAAAAGTAACTAAGTTTTATATTTTTTAATAAACTTAAATATGTTTTTAGTCCCTTAAATTTAGGATAAATTTGTTTTTGGTCCCTCAAATTTAAAATTGTTATTTTTAGTTTCTATAATTTCAAAAAAAACTTATTTTAATCTTTATATTCAAATTTTGTTAAGAAATTTATCAAATATTATTGTATAAAATTTACTTATCGGTATTTCTATTAGTAAAAATATTACACTAAATCTGGTTAATATTACATAATTGTCTTAATTAATCATTTTTAAATATATTATTAGTGATCTAAATGACTAAAATAAAATTTTTAAAAATTATAAGAATTAAAAACAATAATTTAAAGAACGTGCGGAGAGGAATTTGCGAACAGTTGTGTCTTTTCGCGGCCGAATTCATAGAATACGCAATTAATTAAAGAGACAATTATTGTACTATAAATTCCAACGTTTCTTTTCCTCCTACTTCAATTCTTCTTCTCTTCTCTTCTTTCTGTTTCTATCTCCAACCTTCAACTAAACTTTCCTTCTTTTCTATTGAGCTTCCAACCTTCTTACGCCCTCGCAGTCATAATTGCACTCTCCACACGCAAACTCTTCCCTTCTCTACTCATTCGTAAGTATTCCAACACCTTTCTTTCTCTTAAGTAAAAACACGGGTCATGCAGTTTCGTTTTTATTTTCCTTCACTCACCTTCTCTATGTGTGAAAAGCTTCTTATGTTCATCTGGGTGTTGAATTTTTTCATCAAAAACGTTTTTTTTTTGTTTTTTTTTTTTTTATGTTGTTTATTTTGCTTCTTGTGAGGAACTGCTTCGTCTTTAATGGGTGCGCTTTAATTTTACGCAAGGATTATCAATACTCTGTTTGGAGAATGGAGATCCTGGTTTAGTACGTTTCCAATTGATAAATTAAAAAATAAATTCTTTTGTCTCTCACTTTTATGTTCCACACACGCCACCATATTACATAGTTCCGTAATGGTTTAATTTTGTTTTCTCTCACAGCAGATCTGAAAGAAAAATATTGAGGGTGTTCTGGACTTCTATTGTTGTGAAGTGTGTTTATTTTCTGCGAAAATTGATTTAGAAAACAGTTGTTGAAACGAAGAAGTGAGAAGAGGATCAAACATACTGTTAATTTGTTGTTCTTGGTGATTGACGGTGGATTTCAGATTTTTCTCCCTTGACTTGCATTTTACAATTATTTCTTCCTAATAATGCAACAAAAATGAGAGACAAACCATCATATTTTGTATGCATGACTTTCCTGAGATTGTGGATATGGATTTCTCTGTCTTTCCTACTTGTCTTCTGCTTTGAGAAACATTATGAAATCGACTTGCTTGTTTCAATTGAAGGAACCTCTTTTCTTTGCCTGATAACTATCTCTCATGTAGTAGTCTAATTTAATTAGTGTTATTGTTAGTAAATTGCATTGACTACATTTTCTCTAGCTAGCCTTTTTCTTGAAAATAGTTTGAGTTTAATTTTTATGTAAAAATTGTTCACCAATCAGAATTCACGTTAGATATGACTTAGGGTTGGGATAGTATGGATAAGGTGAGAATTTTTTATCTATCGAAATTACAACAATTACAAAAGTCAAATCATCTCAACCTCCCTCCATAATTAATGTGAGGTTTAAACCTTGATGTGGTAAATGTAATATATTTTTAATGATGAAATAATATGACTTTTAGGGTGCTAATTGTTAAGCTAAAAGAACTTACCATATGAAAATATGTAATTAAGGAAGATGTACTTTACACAATCTATTTGGTGCATAAACTATTTACTAGTAATACTTTAATTATGCAGTTTGATGAGCTTTGCCTGCAATCACTCTGATCTGTCAAATAAAGAAAAAAATTAGGTGGGCAACTAATGTATTTGATGTTTGTAACTGTAACTGTGATTTTTCATGCAATTATTGACAGGAAGTGATTCTAGACTTAAGTCTTTATTACCGAAAACCTTTTTTTTTCGTCTCCTCCAAAGGGAGGACCTGAGATTAAACGCAAAGTTATTAACAGATTTGGATAACATAATATGGTTTGTTGGAGAGAGGAAAATACAATTTTTATTTGATTTCTATCAAATAAGAGCTCATCATGATTGGTTGTACTACATGCTAATTATGTTTGTCAAAAATTGTGTATTTCTTTCTCCGACATCACCATGTTTTGTTATTTAATAACAGTATTAGACGATAAAATCCAATTCTGTTTTCGACTAATCTGAAGAAATAAAACAGAATACACAGACTTTGTATTCACAGTAGAGTCGCTGAGTATAAGGTATTCTCCATGCATCATTTTTTGCATCTAATACGAAAAGTGGTTAGAGTTGAATCGCTTGGTTTTTCCCAAATTTGAATTTGATTCTATTTCTGACACTAAAATACATTTATGTGAATTTAACTTTTTTCAATACAATTACTCAAGAAACATTAATTTTTGGTAGTTAAGGAGTGATTGCCAACTTGAACTTGTCTACCCTAGCCATAGTCGATCCCACCCCAACTAACTGAGCAATTCCTAGCCAACTGAAATAATTATCACTCTATATAGAAGGTAGTTTCCAAATTTCTGTGAATATTGTGTAAACCTTTTGATTTGATCCGAAGACTCTGGATTTTTTATATTACAAATAATGATATTTTTTATGGAAAATTATAACTAAAATGGCTGGCCAGGAGACCATAACTCCTAACCTATAGTTTATGAAAACACTGCTCTTCATTTGGTTGGTTGATATCTCACTTTATTAATTTTTGGTGTCTTTTTTATTTACATATTCCACATTCATTAATTGTGAGAAACAGTGAGTGTATGTTAGATGTGGAGAAGGCTTAAAGTTGATATAGTTTTCGTCCATGGTACATACAGACTTAAATTTCTCTGCCAAACCATCATTGTCAACCACAAGCCACAGGGTTGACATTTTTTATTAGAACCTTAGTTTTGAGTGCTTTTAAAATTTAACCCCCCTCATCTTAACAAAACATCAACCAAGGGAGTCTAGTTTAGTTAGTTCAGCAGGGTGCCTGAGTTGTTGTAAATCTCTCGGTTTTGAATTTGATTTTGATGGATAAAAAAAATGCTAAAGAAACTTCATTTATGAAAACTATGTACAAGTAATCTGTAATCCCTTATGAGACACTCATAATTCATACATGGTCTGCTTGTGCATTTCAGGTTCAGTACATGTAAAAGAACATATAGTAAAACCAAGAGGAAAAAATGGCCTTAGATCACATGGAGGAGATTGTGCCCCAAAAGGAAAATTTGAAATCTTCCAGCGATATCATTGCAGAGCCTGATAGAAATGCCTCTGGTGGCTTTGACTGCAACATCTGCCTGGAGTGTGTGCAAGATCCAGTGGTCACACTTTGTGGTCATCTATATTGTTGGCCCTGCATATACAAATGGCTTCATTTTCAAAGTACCTCTTTGGAAAATGAAGAGCAACAGAAGCCACTATGTCCTGTATGCAAATCAGAAGTTACTCAATCCTCCCTTGTTCCATTATATGGCCGTGGCCAAACCACAGTACCTTCTGAAGGGAAGCCACATCAAGTAGGGACTGTCATACCCCAAAGACCTCATGGTCCCAGATCATTTAACACTGAAAGGGTTTACCAACCTATTTCTCAAAGTTATCATCCCTATAATCCTTATCATTCTCCACAATTCAACTCAATTCCAAGCGGTTATACTTATACCTCACCAATGCTTAGCACAGGTGGTTCACTAGACAACACATTTGGAATCTTTGGTGAGATGATATATGCTAGAGTCTTTGGAAACCAGGTGGCAAACATACATACATATGCTAATTCATATAATCTTTCAGGGATCAGTAACCCAAGGATGAGAAGACATTTAATGCAAGTTGATAAATCACTCAACAGAATAAGTTTTTTCCTCCTTTGCTGCCTAGTTTTGTGTCTTCTATTGTTTTGATTTCTATTTCATTTTCATCTTTAGTTACAGTACATCCTTGTATAGAATACATTCACTCATTCATCCCGATGTATTCTATGTTAGAAAAGTTGCAAAATAACGCTATGTGTAATTACCAATTGCTCTCGGAGCTATATGAAAAGAGTGATGTTATTCTTATGATCATCACATCAATTGATTTATCCTACGTTGATTTCTCTTCTGACCTTTTCTTTCCTAGTTATAAAAAATGTAATTCATGAGAATAGATGAAGATGGTGGTATAACTTCTAATTTCATTTGGTATTCTTGCTATATAGTCTTTCAGTTTGTTACAAACCAATTTATACTTCTAAACTAAAGGACAAATAAGGGGACCCAGGATAGGAATGACTTTGCTTATTGATAGGGTCAGGCATAAGATGCACAAAGCCTGCTCTCAGAAGTCATGCCTTATCCATTGCATGGAAGGAATAAGTTGCTGTGGTTCATACAATAAGATGCTAACTTTAGGTTTTTCTAATCTTATTCCAAGTAATGACTTCCCTAAGTAGATGAGTAACTTTTTAATTCTTTTCATCTATAGTTATACTACTCCCAGAAAAAAATATAAGCAATTTTTTTAAAAAAAATTTAAATGGTGGCCCTAGATATAAATAAATTTTAACTAATTTTATCTTATTTAATACCATCATCTCTATAATACTCTTTATTTATTGAAAATATATTTTAATGACTCTTTTATTCTTGTTTGACATGGGAATTTACACACACACACATGTTTCTCCATTACTATGATATTGTCTATTTTGGATCTAGGTTCTTATACATTTATTTTTAATCATTACCTAAAAGATGTCATATTAAAGGAAACTGTGTATTATATAAATCTTTATTTTTTCTCATAATAAAATTTCTAATATAAAGTTACAATTAAAGGTAATATAGGACTTTTTTTAAAATGATATTAATAAAATTAAATAATGTTCACTAACTTTCATAATTAATAAGCAAGTTAGCTAATTTTGCTTATAATTGAGTCAGGGATTACTTACTTGTATAGAATACCGTCTCTCATTCATCGAGATGTATTATATGTTAGAAAGTTGCAAATTAATGCTGGGCTATGAGTATTTAGTAATTGCTCTCTAGCTGTATGAAAAGAATAATGTGATTCTTGTGTCTGTGGTTGGATATTTCTAAACTAATTCTTAAAGTCTCACATTTCTAAACTAGTAAAAGGCATGGCTCACCAACAGGAGATAGGCCAAATTGGCCTAGTGCAGCTTTTGAATGTTACTAAGTGACTGTTGGCAGTTTTGAAATGTCAAATAATGTTATCCAATTCGGTTTCATTTTTTTTAATATAATTATGATATTAATATGTTGATAACTAATTTACTTTCAAGAATTGATGTAAAAAAAAATTCCCTTGGAGAACATGACCAATCACTTTTAACGGAATATGTATTTTCAATATTCTTTTATTTATAAGGCTTGATCTCAAGTCTTTACTTAAAAAAAAATTGAATTTTATTATAGTTGCTTAAAAATAATTCTAATTTTTCAAAGACTTAAATATATATAATTAGTAGTATCAAATTTGAATCCAATATGTATAATTGTGTTAAATATTCGAAGAGAGAATTTTTTTTACCATAATAATCTTACTCATTTTAAATAAGATTGTTTTTAATATAGAATATTTGTGATCTATAAAAATAAAATTAAACATATTTATTATTTGTATAATTTAGCATTTGTTTTTCTCTAATTTTATTCCTTACAAATTTCAACTTGAACATTTTTTTTTTGTCCATACTGCTGGTGTTGACATAATAAAGATAATGTGGCTAATGAATTTGATGACATTATCATGTCACATCATCAATAATTTACGAGGATAAAAAAAACAAAATAATTATTAAAGACGAAAACAAAAAGTGAAATGCAAAAATAAAAGTATTTAAATTTGAAATTAACCTTAAAATAAATAAAGACTTAAATTATAAAATACTATTTCACTTTATCTTTGTTCCCTCTTTGTCATCAAAGTCTTCTCCTCATATGCTTTCCTCTCCTTTTGGCTCCACAAAGCTCCACCCTTTCTTCCCAAGCATGTTGATTAAGAAATACTCCAATCTTATCTTTCTTCACATGCCAGTAATTGAAGGTTATCCACTAGACTTTAATCTATACATGAAATACTCCAAGTTCTAAAGCTTAAAATCTATCCCTTGGTGTTAGTTATAGGCTAGCAAGGGTAAGATAGAGGGGTCAACAATCAACATCCCCTACCCCATTTCTTCAATAGAGGAAAAAATTGATCTCAAACTCGATCAAAGCAAGATTTCCTCATTAACTTCAAGTTGGGCAGAATTTGATTGCCAAGCCTAGATGACAATTGTGTTGGTCATTTTTCACTCTATAAAAATTTACATAAACTTGATAATGTCGAGTTTTTCAGGATATTAAGTATACAAAATCTAATAGGAAGGATATTTTAATATTAAAGCCAGAATATTAAGTGTACATAAAATGGGAGGATATTTTAATATTAAAGCTTTAATTTTAATTTAATATTGTTTTAATACTCAAATGAAAATTTTCACCCATGAAAATGGTACTTTAATTTTCATAAATTATTTTATTTATTTTTAGTCCCAATAAATTATCAATGATGTGACATCTTTATTGACATAATACGATAAGATCATCAAATTTAATAATCGTGTCAATTTTATTATTTTTTTTAAAAAAAAGATGGTGATAAGAAAAAAAATATAAATTAAAGTTTTTGGAAGACTAAAACAATTCTTTATATTGTTGGATTTGAAGTTATTATTTTTATCTTAATGTATAGTCTAAACGAATATGTTAAATATAGAGACTTGTTCACCATCTACATAAGTCTTTGAATATAGTATAAAATTGTATGAGACTATTCTTCATAATTACTCGTTTTATAAATAAAATAAATTTTTCGATCTATAAATTAAAATTAATTTATGTATAAATTAAAATTTAGAAAAGTTAATATAAAATTATTTTTACAAATTAGTTTATGTATATGCTAATTTTAGTTTATAAAAATTTTTATTTTTATTTTTCTTTCTATTTTTCTCTCAAATAAATGCTTAAGAAAAATTTCTCTAACATGTCCACGTTTGTTTCAAACTACTTCCACTTATGACCAATAGAGTCAGTGAATTTGGATTAGTCTGTGCTTACTTTTCTGTTGGGATTCATCCCAAGTCCCACATCTGTAAAATGAAGGAACATTGGCTAGTTTATAAGGGTGTCCACCATTCCATATAGTATGAGGCCTTTTGGGAAGGAGCCCAAAAACAAAACCGTGCGGGCCTAACCCAAAGCGGACAATATCATACTATGGTGGAGCAACAGGTGGACTATCGGGCCCTACAATTGTATCAGAAGCAACGTCTCTATACCTTGCAGATGTCTGAGAATATGTCTGTGAGAGATCATCTTGATAATTTTAACTGAATTATCTTAGACCTACAGAGATGATGACGATCTAGCTATTATTTTGTTATGCTCTCTGCCAAAATCATATGAGAATTTTATTGATACTATGTTGTATGGAAGGGATAATATTACTCTCAACAATGTGAAGGACAGCTTACAATCTAAAGAATTGAAGAGAAGAGTAGTCTCTAGTTCTAATGTGGATGATGTAGGTCTGACAGTTAACAGAGGCAGAAGCATGGAGAGAGGAAATAGTAGCAAGGGTCATACACGCAGTAATTCACTTTCAAAGTCAAAGAAAGTGAGATGTTACAAATGCAAAGAGATGGGGCACATAAGGAAGAATTGTCCACAACTGAAGAAAGATAGAAATAGTAACGCCAGTGCAGCTGTTGTTCGTTCTAGTGCAACTGTCTCTGGTGAGAGTTCAGATGAAGGAGATGGCGGAGATGTTTTGACTGTTAGTACTACTAGTTTTGCTGATACATGGGTCATGGATACTGGAGCTTCTTATCACATGACTTTTAACAGGAAGTTGTTCAATTCATTTAAAGAATGGAATGGTAGTGTAAAGTTAGGTGATGATGAAGAGCTTGGAATAAAAGGTAGTGGCACTGTACAGATAAAAATGTATGATGGCATGGTCAGAATGTTTGATGCTTGGTATGTTCCTGGCTTACGGAAGAACCTGATTTCTATTGGTACCTTAGATAAACAAGGGTACAGTTTTTCAGGAAATGACGGACAAATTACAGTTTCTAAAGGTGCTCTGGTTGTTATGAAAGGAAAGTTACAACATGGAATTTATGTTATGCTTGACAATTCCTTTTAGGGAACGGTGTCTATATCTCATTCCTTAGAGCAACATCTTGATAACACAAAATTATGGCATTGTAGGTTGGGACATATGGTCACATTAAGTGGTATCAGAGCAGGTCGATCCAATCGGCCGTGAGTTATGTACTTATCATGATTCTGTTGTGTACTCTAACAGTGTTTTGTTTGTTATGTACTTTGATGATGCTTTGCTTTGATAATGATGATGATGATGATCTCCTTGTGTTGATATTGTTGAGTTTGATATTGTTAGATTATATTGTAATTAGAGGAATGATAGATAGTGTTAGCTAATATCATTATAACTGCTCTTCTTCATTCTTATGAGTGCTTATTTGTTTGATACTTCTTGCTTCTTGCTTACGTAAGAAGTAGTGGATGAGTGATATTTCTTGTGTTGCAAGCATATGCGCGAGTAGTAGTAGACAAGATATTGTGCTAATTAACTAGAAACTATTGGAACCTTGGATGTGGCTGAGAAATTGATTTGTCGAGTGTATTGAGAGTTTATGGTTAATAGAGTTTTTGGAATCTATAGTTGTAGTGATTGAATCCTAAGAGGTTATATGTTGAGAATTGGAGTTGAGTGTTCTCATTGAAAGGTTGAAAGGTCAATGATTTTCTTGAGTTTTGGTACTTGGATGTTAACCTTTTATGGTTTAGGTAGCATGTGAGTTTTATTTTCTAAGTCTTTTATACTGAATATGTGAGTTGTTTTGGTTTAGGATTGTAGTGTGAAGCTTGGATATGAGTCTAGGAGCATCAAAGAGGGAAGACCAGACTCCTTGGATCATGGAACTTCAAGGTTTCTAGCCTTGATGATGGTGGTGACCGAATGAAGGTTATGGAGGCTAGGTGTTTGATGAAATGCTAAAGTGGTACTATAGGTTTTTGGCTC